TTCACCGTGCTATCTGCAATGCTGTTGAATTTTTGCAGTTCATTTGCACTTGGATCGCCAATATTATATACCAAACAATAGGGAAGTTTTATGCATTTTTGTTGAGTATAACGTTTCTATTACATGCTATAGATGTATAAACGAACCACTAGGTTTTTTTCATGGGGAAAGTCAAAGGAGATAGCTACTCATCGATTAATGTAAATTCTATAACATATGCGTGTTCATATTAAGTTTATACACATGCGTGCTAATGAACACGAAAAGACAAATTATAGATTTTAATCTTTGATGTGTATACAAATATATAGGTAATGACTAGTTTGTACTTCCTTCTATCTAGATATCTGTTAACATACACTTGATTGCAAAAGATTACGCTCAATTTTACCTAATTAATTATATCCGGTATAGTCATAGGCGGTTTTGACGACACGATCGTTGCTCAGATCTGTGCATAGCTTCTTAGCTCTATTCTATCGGTGCAGGTATCTTTGTAAACTCCTCTGCTGATTTGTTTATATCCTCGATATCTTGACTTTGTCTCCCTTTAACGCAAATCCTACTCTTTCAATTTGCTCCACAGATCTCTGTATGGACATTGGCTTTGAGGTGGTGGAGTGCAATCTGATACAAAGTGGTGCATTCCCACTTGAAGATAAAGCTTGTTATGAGCTTCCAGACACAGCGTACATGTCCATGGACGCCGCACAGCCGAGTGAAATCTACTTGGTATCGGACTTCACTATCCAAGTGGCGTGTGAAACACCCCTTCCATCACCCGGGGCTTCACCTGCAGGTACAAGAATGGATTTCAGTTCCGATTTGTAGTGGATTTCGTAAATATTGCTTTAAAGCTTGTCCTTCCGATGTATACGGATATATGAAGAAGAGCTTTCCTATGCCCGCTGTGTATAGCATACAAGTCTATTTATCCTAACGTCAACTCACCTCTGTGTATTCTTGAAGATGTATCGATCGGCTCGACAGCTGCGACTGATCCTGTGGATTTCTCTAGTAACGCGCGCGCAGCGTATGAGGCTTATATGTCTACCTACCTTGCTGATTCCGAGACGGCAAGTTTACTTGACGAAGCAGCATTTGCTAGTAGCGCGCGTGCAGCGTATGAGTCTTATACGGCTACTTACGTTGCCGCTACCACAGCTGCGGGCGCCCGTGATGAAACAGCATTGTCCAGTAGTGTACGAGCAGCGTATGAGAACTATACGTCCTCCTACACCAATGCTGAGACTGGTACAGGCACGGCCGGTATAGAGGCGGTTGCGACTGATAGTGTTGCGCCCACTACGAGTAGTGATGCGGGGACAGACGAATCTACAGCCACTACTACTGTTGCAGGTATGACTACTATTCTTGCCGATGGTAAAAATCGAGAACAATCCGTCCTGAAGTGCATAGCTAGTTCTGGGCACGGAATAGTTTGTACAAATGAAGACACGAGAAAGTCAGGTCGACGCTTCCAGAGTGCGCGCCTTTAAGTTCAACCAGTCTCGACAATGCAGTATAACTAAATACCGTAGTATGTAGGTCCGTGCCGGGCGATATCTGGACATGCGGTTTCGCTCAGTCACAGTTATGATCATTGACTAAATCCATCGTACGGGTTTTGTTACTATTGTCACGTAGCTGATAACATCTGTAGATTCAGTCACAAATTGTTCAGGCATCATGACATACTGACAATCCCACCTTTCTACCAGCAGCAAGAGAGACAGAATCTGTCACCGCGTCTGTGGGGGGGGCACGTCGAGAGGCTTCGGGGGTTAACGCAAGGTATTGATATATAATAGTAATGTATTAGACTCCTTGACACTATTCTTTCTTGACAGCATTCAATTAGTGTGCTGGACCTGTGCGTATATGCAGTAAGGCGTACACACATGTGTGTATGTACATTCGCGGATACAGTACATGTAAATCACGCGAGTGCGTTGTGTTACAAAGTGCGAGCGTTTTAGCGCACAACGGCCTGTCGAGTTGTGATCCCATGGTTATGCATCCATGCCCTGGTGTTCACACCTGCGGTATTTCTAGTATGTGCACAGCTATAATACTTCTGGGTATCTATCCGACCTTCTGCCGAAGTTTCGACCGTACTACATTTTGTCAAATCTCTTGCAATGGCGTGGCCAGTTTATCGCTACGGTTTATATACTCGCCTTTACCATTTAGATATTGCACACCAAACCCACATGTACTTCTATTTCACACAGCTACGCCTAATGATCATTTTCATCTTCTACATGAAACCCTATCGGTTTATACTCATATATCCGCTTTGATTGGCTCATTTTATCATCTTCCGGGTGGCAGGGCACGTCGTCAAGAGCCGACAGTAGTGTCCCTGATGGGTAAGTGTGTTGTGCTGGACCACACACAGCTCCCATTCGAATGTCCAAAGCGCAGTGAAACCATTGTGGTCGACTGGGAGATAGAAAACTATGTAGTGATTGGGGGCTACAAGTACGCTTCAATCCAAGACGACCCCGTAGATGAGAGGAATGCCACAGACTGGGATTGTACAGTGGCGGATGGTGCCATTATGCCAGGTTTGTCCACATAGCCGTGTTTGAGTTCGGGAGTATATAGTCAAGACCCAGTATAGACAGTGAAGGTGAGATGCGTAGAGCAGAGATCAAGGATTCATATTGTAAGTTGCAGGAGTGGTGAAAATGGCGTGCGTTTTAAAAATATACACACAGGTTTACCAGATAAGCAAAAGAATATTCGATACAAACAAGGTCTTACCTGCCCGCTTGGCCAGGATAATTTTGCACCTGGATCCCCAGGCACTGGCACACTGTCCTATTCGATGCTAGACAAAACAAGTTTACTCTTGAGAGTTGCATATTAACTAGCCTGCTTCTACCTACCCCTCCTGTAGATGGCTGGGAAATCGCACCGTTGGATTGGCGCTCTCAGATCGCCATGCAGATGAGAGGATTCGGCGGTGAGCATGTGATCCTTGCGAATTACAAGGTATTGTGGACAGGGTTGATTTTTGTTGTTGTTGCAACAGTGCAATCTCGATCTTTGTACGGACTGCTGTTATATTGCAAGTGAACGCAAGGCATCGGCACTGACATGAGTTGGGTACAGTAGCAGTATAGATATAGTTCACAATTCAGATGTACTTCAAGGACGACATGATATAGTGATCGAGTTCAATCTCTAATGGATATTGCTCCTTTCATTTTGCAGGCGTTTTCAACACTTACCAAATTTGAAGATATTCTGCCGTTTGATGGCGCAATAGAACACTACGACGATGAAACAAGGTAAGTTTTGAGGCACAGATACCTTTTTGTACCACACTGGTGAATTTGTTTAATGTGACTCTGTTGTAATACGTTTGCACCCATTTGCTTTGAAAAGATCATTTTGGTGGCTTCTTCTAAGCCATCCTCTAAAAATTGAATACTGACACTCAATTATTGGAGATATCAGAATGCTTACTACCTTGCGAAGTCTACTGCCCAAAGGTACCTGAGTTGCAAGTCAGGGGGTTTGCTCAAGACTTCGACAATATTCCACCACTTGTTTTGTTATTAATGCGACGTTGTACGTCACTTAAAGGTTGTAGGACAGTAGGAATCCAGCAAGGTATATTTGACGGTCCAATTCCTTGTGTATGAACTTGTATCTTAGTCCAATTGCGAGAGCCGCATGTTGAACTACTGAATGTTGCATTGGATCCCCGGGAGCTATTTCAAAGCCCAAACTCTAATATCTGATGCAGACGTTATCAGCCAGTAAGCTGTGGAATGAAGGTACTCATCACACAGAAAGACACCTTGGCCAGCACAGATCGCAACCTGCTCAGAGCAGAAAAGGTGTTGAGCAGCTACATCAACTTCAACAATACACTATACGCAACGATAGACAACCATCCGGCCACGGATACCGAACAGGGATGCCAGAGTCAGGGAGCGATGGTAGGTAAACTGTGCTCGCGCATCTCCGTCGATAGCCCTCCATTGGTTTTGGCTGCATCTTCATTGCTACCGGGCACAGACACGACGATCGAGCTTGTTGTCAGTTTGTAGATCTGATTTTGTATAACGTATCACGGTATATATAGCCTATTCACAACGAGGGCCAAGTTATAGTAATGAAGAAAGATAAGACTATACTTCGTTAATGCCACTCTAATACGATTTAACGAAAAGAAAAATGTACATTGAGTGTACATTCTGTTAACGTATAAATGTGTCCTACGCTCGTGAAAGTCTGCCCTTCTCTCTAACCACATGCAGCTGACATTCTTACTATTCACATACAGATGCCCGATGGATGGGAGCTAGCAAAGGATGACTCACAAGCACGGGTTGCCCTATTAGGCGCGAAGCACAAGTTCGGGACTTTGTGTTACACAGTTGAGGGCGGTGGATCGTTTATGACCGGTGGTGAGGACTGTGGTAACAACACTCTGATGTCAGCAGAAGCGGATGGAGAGGTAAACGAGGGCTCAAGCTACTGGGTGTAATTCATTCTATGCCAAGCGCGTAAATATTTAGGCGTCCTTTGTTTTGGTATATCTAATTATGTAATGTGGTAGGCGTGGGGAATACAGATACGACATGGGCCAAATATACCTTGTTATTCTGGGTGGACTTATGTACTCCAATGTCCGTGCAAAACATTATTAGCAAGTCACCCTATCTCGAAATACTACATCAAGCTTGAGATATCATTCGAATCTGAATTAAGTCGGCTCACAAAAGCATTCATGAATTCATTATCCTTCCTAATCAATATCATTATCACCCCCCAATTATCGTCATCGCCGTTTCGCTATATATAACAAAACGATAATATAGTTTTATTTTAGTATATTAAAGTAATATCA